CTGGAGAACGCACATCCCAAATTACAGTTTGATTGCAAGCCCTCTCTATCATGTGACCCGGAAGAAGAATTATTTTAAATGGGGCCATGAGCAACAACAAGTTTTTCAGCAAATTAAATGATAGTTCATGCAGTACCCCTTGGATCAGTCCGGACCGGGCCAGGTGTATAAAATGTACTCCCCGCAGCCAAGGAGAATGGTCCTACCTGGAGCCTCTAGCGGAAAGCTCCAGGGGAGACTCGAGGTCGACCCCTCGGCTTTTGGAGTCGGGGATACAAAGGATCTGAGGCCAGCTGTACCCCAACTGAGAAAGAGATACTGGCAGCCTATGAAGGGGGTCAAGCTGCTTTGGAAGTGATTGGCACAGAAGCACAACTCCTCCTGGCACCCCGGTTGCCTGTGCTGGGCTGGATGTACAAAGGCAGGGTCTCCTCTACACATCATGCAACCAATGCTACATAGAGTAAGTGGGCTGTCCTAATTACACAATGAGCTCGAACAGGAAATCCCAGTTATTCAGGGATTCTAGAAGCCATCATGGACTGGCCAGAGGGCAAAGATTTTCAAATGTCAACAGAGGAGGAGGTGATGCGTGCTGAAGAGGCACTACCATATAATAAACAGTCAGAAAGTAAAAAAGCAGTATGCCTTGTTTACTGACGAGTCGTACCGCATTGTGGGAAAGCATCGGACATAAAAGGCAGCTATATGGAGTCCTCGACAACAAGGTGCAGAAACTGCTGAAGGACAGGGTGAATCAGGTCAGTTTGCTAGGTGAAACCCATCCAGCTGGCCCTGGACATTGCTGACCAAGAAAAGTGGCCAGTACTTTATCTCTCTAGTGATTCATGGATGGTGGCAAATGCCCTGTGTGTGTGGATGCAGCACTGGAAGCAGAGCAAATGGCAAAGCACAGGTAAACATATCTGGGCTACTGTACTGTGGCAAGATATCGCTGTTCGGGTGCAGAACCTGGTGGTGAAGGTACGCCATGTAGATGCTCATGGCCCAAGAGCCGGGCCACCGAGGAACACCAGAACAGCCAACAAGTGGATAAAGCTGATAGGATTGAAGTGTTTTGGATGGACTTAGATTGGCAACATAAAGGTGAATTATTTTTAGCCCAGTAGGCCGATTACACTTCAGGCCATTCGGGCAGAGACGCAACATGCAGATGGGCTTGTGATCAAGGGGTGGACTTAACAATGGACACTATTGCCCAGGTTATTCATGAGCGTGAAACATGTGCTGCAATTAAGCAAGCCAAGCTGTTGAAGCCTCTCTGGTAAGGAGGACAATGGCTGAAGTACAAATATGGGGATGCCTGGCAGATTGACTATATCACACTCCCACCAACCCACCAAGGCAAGCGCCATGTGCTTACCATGGGGGAAGCAACCACCGGCACGGCACCCCGGAGAGAACTGAGTCAGACAACGGGACTCATTTCCAGAACAACCTTATAAACACTTGGGCCAAAGGGCATGGCATTGGGTGGGTATATCACATCGCCTACCATGCAGCAGCCTCTGGGAAAATCAAACAGTACAATGGGCTCTTAAAAACTACACTGAGAGCAATGGGTGGTGGGATTTTCAAACACTGGGATAAACATTTACCAAAGGCCACCTGCTTGGTCAACACCAGAGGATCTGCCAACAGGGCTGGCCCAGCCCAGTCAGAACTTTTACATACTGTAGAAAGGGAAAAAGTTCCTGTAGTGCACATCAAGAATTTGCTGGGGAAGAGAGCCTGGGTTACTCCTGCTTCAGGTAAAGGCAAACCCACTCGTGGGATTGCTTTTGCTCTGAGACCCAGATATACTTGGTGGGTAATGTGGGAAGACGGGGAAGTCTGATGTGGACCTCAAGGGGATTTGATTTTGGGGCAAAACAGTCAATGAACTCAATTGTATGCTGTTGCCTGCTATGTAGCACTTCTATAGCTCGCCAACCAGATGTCTTCAGGTCACCAGCGACTGGCCCTGACTTCCCTCCAACCACCATCCCAACAAAGAATGGGCTTTGACAAAACCAGACCGGCTCAGCAGTGACCGGACGACTTCCGCAGTGTCTACAGCAGGCAACAATCCAACACTACACACCGTCTCTCCTGCCCTGAAAGACTGTTACAGGAGATGGAGCACGACATCATGGATTGGATGAACTCAGCAGCTTTATAGGGATTGGTCCATACACTAATGAATGATCTCTCTCTCTCTCTCTGTGTCTGTGTATATATATATATATATATGTGTGTGTGTATACATATATATGAATATGAGTGTCGTGGTTTAAACCCAGTCAGGTAACTCGTTCACTCACTCCCCCCCCCTTGCTTGCCCTCCCCCTGCTCCCGGAGGGACAGAGAGGAGAATCGAAAAGAATGCAACTCCCACAGGTTGAGATAAGAACAGTTTAGTAACTAAGATATAACACAGATCACTACTGCTACCACCAATGATAATAATGATAAAGGAAATAACAAGGGAAGAGAATACATCATCTCACCACCAGCCGACCGATAACTCGCCCCCCCCAGCCCGACCAAGCTCTGACCGATACCTCCTCCAACCCTGCAGTCTCCCAGCCCTTGCGGCTAACTCCCAGTTACATCCTGGGCATGACGTGCTGTGGTATGGAATACCTCTTTGGTCAGTTTGGGTCAGGTGTCCTGTCTCTGCTTCCTCCTGGCTTCCCCTCCTCCCTGGCAGAGCATGAGGCTCACAAAGTCCTTGGCCAAACCAAAACATCGCTTCTTATCAGCTCTGTTCCCGAGCTGAAAGTCAAAACACTGCACTGCACCAGCCACCAAGAAGGGGAAAAATGACTGCTACTCCTGAACCCAGGACATTATCCACCCCTTATATACCATTCACGTCATGCTCAGATCCCACATTTTCAATATACCATCACTCTTATCTTAGTGCATGGACCAGTCCCTATAAAGCTGCTGAGTCCATCTGGTCCATGATGTCAGTCTCCATCTCTTGTAACAGTCTTCCAGAGCAGGAGAGACTGTGTGCAGTGTTCACACTCGTGAATAACCTGGGCAACAGTGTCCATTGCTAAGTCCACCCCTCGATCATGAGTCCATGTCTGTGTTGCATCTCTGCTCTGATGGCCTGAACTGCCATAGGCTGACCAGACTCAAAATAATTCACTGTCCCCTTAAGCAGTTTCTGCAGCTTGTTGCTGGGGACTCCATACAGCTGCTTTCCATCTCCGATGCTTCCAAAGCACTGGAGGGGCCCAGTGGACTAGATACTTGCCCATACTGTCACACACACCCTGCCACTCCTGGCTGTGCAGCCTTGGGGAAAACCTCTTGGTCCCCCTGTATTGTCGTCTAACCCCAGACAAGACCCAAACCTGACTCTGCTTAACTTTTGAGATCAGACAAAATGGTTGTGGGTAAAACACAGTCTGTGTGTGTGCCAACATGCTGATCCCCATCACAATCAGCAGGCAGGTCCCAAGGATACCCAAAGGCCATTCAAAACCTTCAGAACTCTCAGTTGATGCTGCTGTACTTGTCACTGGGGCTGGTGTAGCCGCTGTGCTTGCCGCTCTCCCACCGCCAGCTTCTCTTTTCCTGAGTCCAGCTCTTCCTCCTCTGCCTTGCTGGGAAATGCTGCGTGGTCTCCTGCATCCTCCTGGGGCTCGGCGGGCGGCTGCCGGGAAACGCTCTCGGCCGTCGCGGGGCTGGGCTCGGCCTCGGGGCTGGGCTCGGCCTCGGGGCTCGGCTCCGCCGCGGGGCTCGGCTCCTCCGCCGCCTTTTCCCGCTGCTCGGCAGCCGCCTCCTTCCTCTCCTCGACCGCCCCGACCTCCTCCACCGGCAGCCGTCCCCTCGCGGCCTCCGGCCCCGCTCCCGCCGCCGCTTGGTCCCCGGGGCCGCTCTCCCGGGCCGCTTCAGCAGCCGCCGGCTCCCGGGGCCGCTCCCCCTCGGCTCCCCGCAGCCTCAGTAGGGTGAGGGCCAGGCCGGTGAAGAGCAGCCGGACGGCCAGGTACAAGTCCACGGCCACGTCCGTCCCGCCCTGCTGCTGGAGCCCGCCCGTATTACAAGCCATTGCCATAAAGCACAGTGAGACAAGAACCTTAGCCCAGGCCCCATACTTGATAAACACTAACACAGCAAATACCGGCTCTAAGTAAGTTACAACATTCTGAAGCTGTGAGATCAACAAGAACAACTCTTGCAGGAGGAAGTTATCATCCATACACTGGAGGAACCTCCTGGACTGTGGCTGGGTTGCTGAGTGGTCCTTCCAGCAAACATCGGGGAAGTTAAAATCCCCCACGACGACCACGGCCTGTGACTGTGAGGCCGCTCTCAGCTGCCTGTAGAAGGCCTCGTCGACTTCCTCACCCTGATCTGGTGGTCTGTAACAGACACCCACAACAGTATCGCCCCTGCCAGCCTGCCCCTTAATTCTCACCGCAGACTCTCAACTCGCTCGTCATCTGTCCCCGGACAGAACTCGGTGCATTGTAGTTGCTCCTGCACATAAAGAGCAACCCCACCACCCCGCCTGGCTGGCCTGTCTTTCCTGAAAAGGACATAGCCCTCCATGACTATATTCCAGTCATGTGAGCTGTCCCACCACGTCTCTGTAATTGCCACCAGATCATAGTCTCCTGACTTAACACAGGTTTCTAACTCCGCCTGCACTCCAACTAAAACTGGGGAAGTTTGGGTTAGATATAAGGAAGATGTTCTTTGCTTTAGGGGTGGTGAGGCACTGGAACAGGTTGCTCAAAGAAGTGGTAAATGCTCCACCCCTGGCAGTGTTCAAGGCCAGGTTGGACAGAGCCCTGGGCGACATGGTCTGGGGTGAGGCGTTCCTGCCCATGGCGGAGGGCTTGGAACTGAAGTATGTTAAGGTCCTTTCCAGCTGTTACTGTTGATTCGATGATTCTGTGATTCTGTGGAGCTGACCATCAAGCACATCCCCCATTAGCCTGACCATCAAGCAGAGCCCTTTCCACAGCCCACACCCTCACAGCAGCTGTGCTTCTTTGGGTGTAACATGAGAGATTTATTGGTATCTTTGCACAAGAGAAAGCTCCCAGAGGGAATGGACCCTGTCAAAGAGGGAGGGAGCTCACTGTCCAGGTAGCAACAGGAGTCACTGTTGCCAGGCTCCTTTCCAGTGGGCTCTTCAGCTGCATCTGGGTCCCACTCCCCAGAGCGTGCTTTTGCTGTGGAAGAAAGGTGAGGCAGGAATTCCCACTGCCGATAGAGCAGCGTGTTCTCCGTGCCCAGCGTGCTCAGTTCTGGGGCACCAGCTCCCCGGGGAGGGTCCAGCATGCGTAGATTCTCCGTCCAGACCCCGGTGAACACACGGGGGCACATCAGCGGTGCCCCTCGCTTTGTCCCTGCACAGCCAGAGCTGCCACCAAGAGTTTGGCCCATGTGAAATGCCATTCTGGCCGCAGCCAGTGAGAGAAGGAAGCACGGGGAAAGTCATCTTTGTCGCCGCTGTAGTCTTCAACGGCTGCTATCTCAGAACCATCCAGAAGAGAATGCTGCGGCTCTCGGCAGAGGTCCACTGCACGAGGTTCTTCCTTTCCTTGCAGCAGCCTGCACTCTGTCCGTCATCTCCCTCCTGCATGAGGTGGTCCTCATCTGTCCTCAGCTGTGAACTCTGCAAACACGGCTCTCTGCATGAAGACCACTTTCAGTGCCCCTAGAAGAAGAGCTGTGCTGTAAGCCGATGTTGCAGCTCCTTGAACTCACGCGTTGCCTGCTCGTGGGCAGCCGGATCCTGCGCCAGATGCTGGAAGAGGTTGAATGGCTCGGCTCTTTCCAAGGCTGGGGGCAAGACGATCTCCTCAGGAACCTTCTCATTCCCAAAGAAGAAGTGGTTGAGGCGATTCTCCTGCAAGCAACGGTGCAGGTACCTCGTGATGTCACTCAGCCGCTGCAGGAAATGTGTGCTGCGCCAGCCTGACAGGGGTGTGGTGGTGAGGAGGTGCATCACCACTGTCTTCAAGGCATAGCGGGAAAAGCCTGTGCCCGCCAGCGTGCGGGTGCAGAGATGCAGGCAGCTGAGCAAGGTGTCGTCTGGGGTCTGATCGAACATCAGCCACAAGAACTTTGCCTCTGCCCAGGCGCAGGTCAGTGTCCACGTTGTGCTTGGGCTGAAGACACCCTCTCTCGCCTGGCTGCTCATGAAGATGTCTGAGTTGTCCAGCTGCACGACAAAGATCGTCTCAATGAGCATGGTTATCCCAGAGATATGCTCAATTTCCACTTTGCAGGAGCGTCTGGAGGGCAGCACGGTCAGAAGGCAGTGACGTGAACGTAACAGACGCAAGATTGCCTTGTTTTCCCTCACCAAATCCTGGAACCAGCGCGCAGTTTTCTGCGCATCTAGATAGGAGTTGGTGCAGAGGGTGTGCAGGAGGCTGGGCTTCTGCTTCTTCCTGAGCTGCTCCTTGGGCTTGTGAAGGAAGCACCGCATGCCCCCCACCGTCTGCTGAGCAGTGCACGTGCACTGCAGCTCCACACGGATGCGGGACTTGTTTGCCACGGTGCCTGGCTCCAGGCGGAAGGTGTGGCCACGGGGGGGTGTCAGGGGCACGAGGAAACGGTAGACAGGCTCGTCGTCCTGGGGACTCCAGCAATCAAAGGCGCTGCCCACTCCCATGGCTGGTCCCAGCTCCGGCAAGAAACCCTTTGACGAGAAAATGGACCCTTGGCAAGCAAAGAGGAGGTTTTCCACCACCGCAAGCACCCACTCGCTCTGGTCCCACAGTTCGTTCTCTGACCACTCATTGCGCCTTGCAATGTACGTGTTCAAATTTTGCGCACTAGAGGCATCTTCTTCACTGTCTTCCTCCTCTTCACTGCTGATGCTGCTGCCCACCTCAGGGCTTCTTTTGCTAAAGCAGCACCAGAGCCCCACAATCAGGAGGAGCAGGAAGCCAGCGGTCGCCCAGAACGTCCAGTTCCACAAGGCAGCAGAGAGCAGGCCACTCCAGGTCACACCATTTTGCTGTAATCTCTTCAGCTCCTCCAACTGCTGCTGCTCCAGCTCCTGCAACATCCGAGCCATCTCCTCGATAAGCATCTCCGAACGCTGCTGCATGAGTTCACGTGTGGCTTCATCCAGCTCATCACCGACCATGCGCACGTTCGAGAATATGCCTTCCAGAACCCAGAGTAAGAGCCTTGCGAGACCCATGGCCTGCAGGAGAAAGAAGGAGTTCAGTGGGACTGGGAGGGAGGGAAGGAGGAAGGGAGCTGGTGGCGGGGGAAGCGCAGACAGGAGGCGCAGAGAGCTGCGGACAGGCAGGAGAGGGAACGAGGCAGCTGGGGGGCAGCAAGGCCTGCGCCCAGGCCCGGTGCCAGCAGCAGCGTGCCCTGCCCAAGGCGCTCGCAGCTAGGGTTTCGATGCAGGGTGAGCACCCACCCCCAGGGGCCCACGTTTCTGCCCCTGCCCTTCTCCAGCCCAGCCTCCCCCCTATGCGCGCACTCACTGCTGCCTCAGGCAGGACTGCGCCAGTGCTGCCTGCTGGCACCCTCATATCCATCCCCCATTGTGACGCGTCCCCTGTGCTGTTACAGGCGCCGCGGGCACACCGCAGTCCCGCCCGCACAACCGCGGGCCAGCTAGCAAGCAGAATTTGGAGGGGAGTGAAAGGCAGGATCTCCATAACACAATAAAAATTATTCCCTGAATGCAGCCGGTTCCTGCAACTCTTGGGAGTGGTGGGACCTCTGCCGGGACACGCCTCCCATGCCTTGCTGAATTAGAAATAGAACAGGGGGGACCGGAGGGTTGAACCCCGGCCAGTCCCCCGGTTATAATGAAGCCGGGGAAGGAAGACACAAATGTAGAATTTCTAGCAGACACCGGGGCTAAGTTTGCGGTGTTAAATCAACAGTTAGCTTTCATCGATAATGAACCTTTAAATGTGATTGGGGCGACAGGCCAGCAACAGAAGCTACCATGCATGCAACCTCTCCAATGCAAAATGGGTAAAATGAAAGGAATGCATAAATTTTTATATATGCCAAATACCCCAAAATCATTATTAGGAAGGGATCTATCAGAAAAATTGGAAGCAGTGATCAAGTTCTTCTTTTTTTTTGCCACCCAAGGCCCCTTTGGTATTCAAGCCACTGTCAGAAAAAAAATCTTCTGTCACCAGGGCACCCATCCCGTTCATCAGTGGGCCTACATTGCCTCTGGTGTTAGTTTTATCTGCCATGTATTTGAAAAAGCTCTTTTTGCTGTCCTTGACCCTTCTCGCCAGGTTTAATTCTAAGGAGGCCTTAGTCATCCTAGCTGCCTTCCTACATCCTCTAGCAGCAGCCTTATATTCCTCCCAAGTGGCCAGGCCCTCCTTCCATGACCTGTAAACTCTCCTCTTCCACTTGAGCATACCCAGCAATTCCCTACTTAGCCACACAGGTCTCCTGGCCCTTTTCCTTGACTTCCTATGTGTCAGGATGCTCTGATCTTGAGCTCGGAAAAAGCAATCCTTGAATGCCAACCAACTATCTTGGGCCCCTTTACCTTCAAACAGCCCTGCCCATGGGATTTCCCCTAGCAATTGCTTGAAAAGGCCAAAGTTTGCCCTGCTAAAGTCCAGGGTTGCAATTCTACTTGCTATTCTACTGATCCTACCACACAAGATCCTGAATTCCACCATCTCGTGGTCGCTGCAACCAAGGCAGCCCTCAACCCTTACCGCTTCGACCAGACCCTCCTTGTTAGTGAGGATGAGATCCAGCAGCACTCCTTTACCTGTTGGCTCATCCACCATTTGCAGGAGGAAGTTATCATCCATACACTGGAGGAACCTCCTGGACTGTGGCTGGGTTGCTGAGTGGTCCTTCCAGCAAACATCGGGGAAGTTAAAATGCCCCACGACGACCACGGCCTGTGACTGTGAGGCCGCTCTCAGCTGCCTGTAGAAGGCCTCGTCAACTTCCTCACCCTGATCTGGTGGTCTGTAACAGACACCCACAACAGTATCGCCCCTGCCAGCCTGCCCCTTAATTCTCACCGCAGACTCTTAACTCGCTCGTCATCTGTCCCTGGACAGAACTCGGTGCATTGTAGTTGCTCCCGCACATAAAGAGCAACCCCACCACCCCGCCTGGCTGCCCTGTCTTTCCTGAAAAGGACATAGCCCTCCATGACTATATTCCAGTCATGTGAGCTGTCCCACCACGTCTCTGTAATTGCCACCAGATCATAGTCTCCTGACTTAACACAGGTTTCTAACTCCGCCTGCACTCCAACTAAAACTGGGGAAGTTTGGGTTAGATATAAGGAAGATGTTCTTTGCTTTAGGGGTGGTGAGGCACTGGAACAGGTTGCTCAAAGAAGTGGTAAATGCTCCACCCCTGGCAGTGTTCAAGGCCAGGTTGGACAGAGCCCTGGGCGACATGGTCTGGGGTGAGGCGTTCCTGCCCATGGCGGAGGGCTTGGAACTGAAGTATGTTAAGGTCCTTTCCAGCTGTTACTGTTGATTCGATGATTCTGTGATTCTGTGGAGCTGACCATCAAGCACATCCCCCATTAGCCTGACCATCAAGCAGAGCCCTTTCCACAGCCCACACCCTCACAGCAGCTGTGCTTCTTTGGGTGTAACATGAGAGATTTATTGGTATCTTTGCACAAGAGAAAGCTCCCAGAGGGAATGGACCCTGTCAAAGAGGGAGGGAGCTCACTGTCCAGGTAGCAACAGGAGTCACTGTTGCCAGGCTCCTTTCCAGTGGGCTCTTCAGCTGCATCTGGGTCCCACTCCCCAGAGCGTGCTTTTGCTGTGGAAGAAAGGTGAGGCAGGAATTCCCACTGCCGATAGAGCAGCGTGTTCTCCGTGCCCAGCGTGCTCAGTTCTGGGGCACCAGCTCCCCGGGGAGGGTCCAGCATGCGTAGATTCTCCGTCCAGACCCCGGTGAACACACGGGGGCACATCAGCGGTGCCCCTCGCTTTGTCCCTGCACAGCCAGAGCTGCCACCAAGAGTTTGGCCCATGTGAAATGCCATTCTGGCCGCAGCCAGTGAGAGAAGGAAGCACGGGGAAAGTCATCTTTGTCGCCGCTGTAGTCTTCAACGGCTGCTATCTCAGAACCATCCAGAAGAGAATGCTGCGGCTCTCGGCAGAGGTCCACTGCACGAGGTTCTTCCTTTCCTTGCAGCAGCCTGCACTCTGTCCGTCATCTCCCTCCTGCATGAGGTGGTCCTCATCTGTCCTCAGCTGTGAACTCTGCAAACACGGCTCTCTGCATGAAGACCACTTTCAGTGCCCCTAGAAGAAGAGCTGTGCTGTAAGCCGATGTTGCAGCTCCTTGAACTCACGCGTTGCCTGCTCGTGGGCAGCCGGATCCTGCGCCAGATGCTGGAAGAGGTTGAATGGCTCGGCTCTTTCCAAGGCTGGGGGCAAGACGATCTCCTCAGGAACCTTCTCATTCCCAAAGAAGAAGTGGTTGAGGCGATTCTCCTGCAAGCAACGGTGCAGGTACCTCGTGATGTCACTCAGCCGCTGCAGGAAATGTGTGCTGCGCCAGCCTGACAGGGGTGTGGTGGTGAGGAGGTGCATCACCACTGTCTTCAAGGCATAGCGGGAAAAGCCTGTGCCCGCCAGCGTGCGGGTGCAGAGATGCAGGCAGCTGAGCAAGGTGTCGTCTGGGGTCTGATCGAACATCAGCCACAAGAACTTTGCCTCTGCCCAGGCGCAGGTCAGTGTCCACGTTGTGCTTGGGCTGAAGACACCCTCTCTCGCCTGGCTGCTCATGAAGATGTCTGAGTTGTCCAGCTGCACGACAAAGATCGTCTCAATGAGCATGGTTATCCCAGAGATATGCTCAATTTCCACTTTGCAGGAGCGTCTGGAGGGCAGCACGGTCAGAAGGCAGTAACGTGAACGTAACAGACGCAAGATTGCCTTGTTTTCCCTCACCAAATCCTGGAACCAGCGCGCAGTTTTCTGCGCATCTAGATAGGAGTTGGTGCAGAGGGTGTGCAGGAGGCTGGGCTTCTGCTTCTTCCTGAGCTGCTCCTTGGGCTTGTGAAGGAAGCACCGCATGCCCCCCACCGTCTGCTGAGCAGTGCACGTGCACTGCAGCTCCACACGGATGCGGGACTCGTTTGCCACGGTGCCTGGCTCCAGGCGGAAGGTGTGGCCACGGGGGGGTGTCAGGGGCACGAGGAAACGGTAGACAGGCTCGTCGTCCTGGGGACTCCAGCAATCAAAGGCGCTGCCCACTCCCATGGCTGGTCCCAGCTCCGGCAAGAAACCCTTTGACGAGAAAATGGACCCTTGGCAAGCAAAGAGGAGGTTTTCCACCACCGCAAGCACCCACTCGCTCTGGTCCCACAGTTCGTTCTCTGACCACTCATTGCGCCTTGCAATGTACGTGTTCAAATTTTGCGCACTAGAGGCATCTTCTTCACTGTCTTCCTCCTCTTCACTGCTGATGCTGCTGCCCACCTCAGGGCTTCTTTTGCTAAAGCAGCACCAGAGCCCCACAATCAGGAGGAGCAGGAAGCCAGCGGTCGCCCAGAACGTCCAGTTCCACAAGGCAGCAGAGAGCAGGCCACTCCAGGTCACACCATTTTGCTGTATTCTCTCCAGCTCCTGCAACATCCAAGCCATCTCCTCGATAAGCATCTCCGAACGCTGCTGCACGAGTTCACCTGTGGCTTCATCCAGCTCATCACCGACCATGCGCATGTTCGAGAATATGCCTTCCAGAACCCAGAGTAAGAGCCTTGTGAGACCCATGGCCTGCAGGAGAAAGAAGGAGTTCAGTGGGACTGGGAGGGAGGGAAGGAGGAAGGGAGCTGCTGGCGGGGGAAGCGCAGACAGGAGGCGCAGAGAGCTGCGGACAGGCAGGAGAGGGAACGAGGCAGCTGGGGGGCAGCAAGGCCTGCGCCCAGGCCCGGTGCCAGCAGCAGCGTGCCCTGCCCAAGGCGCTCGCAGCTAGGGTTTCGATGCAGGGTGAGCACCCACCCCCAGGGGCCCACGTTTCTGCCCCTGCCCTTCTCCAGCCCAGCCTCCCCCCTATGCGCGCACTCACTGCTGCCTCAGGCAGGACTGCGCCAGTGCTGCCTGCTGGCACCCTCATATCCATCCCCCATTGTGACGCGTCCCCTGTGCTGTTACAGGCGCCGCGGGCACACCGCAGTCCCGCCCGCACAACCGCGGGCCAGCTAGCAAGCAGAATTTGGAGGGGAGTGAAAGGCAGGATCTCCATAACACAATAAAAATTATTCCCTGAATGCAGCCGGTTCCTGCAACTCTTGGGAGTGGTGGGACCTCTGCCGGGACACGCCTCCCATGCCTTGCTGAATTAGAAATAGAACAGGGGGGACCGGAGGGTTGAACCCCGGCCAGTCCCCCGGTTATAATGAAGCCGGGGAAGGAAGACACAAATGTAGAATTTCTAGCAGACACCGGGGCTAAGTTTGCGGTGTTAAATCAACAGTTAGCTTTCATCGATAATGAACCTTTAAATGTGATTGGGGCGACAGGCCAGCAACAGAAGCTACCATGCATGCAACCTCTCCAATGCAAAATGGGTAAAATGAAAGGAATGCATAAATTTTTATATATGCCAAATACCCCAAAATCATTATTAGGAAGGGAAAAAAAATCTATCAGAAAAATTGGAAGCAGTGATCAAGTTCTTCTGTAAATTATTAAGTTTCTCTTTTGCCACTTTCCAAGGCCCACTTTTTAAAGAAATCCACTGTATTCCATTATTAGTTTATACAACAGTTTGCTGTCAGAAAAAAAGGGAAAGGGATGGTTGTTCCTTAACTTGCTGTGGAAGTGGGGCTGGTTTTCCTTGGTTATGTATGTGCTCTGTGGCATACTGAACTGAGTTAAAAAGCAAGTATTTCCAAATAATAAACAGTAGAAGTGAATAACAAAACAGTGCTCTCTGTTGATTTTTGTTTTCTGCCGGTCTAATCAGTCTCCGATGCCTCCTTCTTTCAGTCTGCAGATGCGTTGATAACGTAAAAGCCCTTGATTTTGGCAGGTTATGCAGGGTAGAACAGGGTGTTTGACATCTGCCTACACCCACAGCTTTCTGGACCTTAATAGATACTGTTGTTGCTGTACCTGCAAGCTACAGTTTAGATGGCAATGGGACAGTCTCAAGGGAAGGTTGAACTGGGGCAGCAGAAGTCTTCTTGTCAATTTATGGGTTTTGGAGAAGTGTTATTGCTTGATAGCTGTCTCTGTTGGTTTCCACAAGTAAAAACTACAGTTATGAGCCTTTAAATCCACTTCTTCAGCTCCTTGAGGAACAAGCAGCATTGAATAGATTTGTCAGTCCAGCTGGCTCAAGGTCTTGGGGTGCATGAGAGAAACACTGCCCCCACTGGCGATGTTTTGTTTAAGTAGCATCTACGAGGCTTGTATTAACTTGCATCCATGCAGTCTGTATTCATGATCTCCCAGTGCACAGCAATTATGGTGGCTGGTGCATCAGATAGACTGAAGAAGGTCCCCATTTACCTTCCCAGCGATATAGACAGGTTATAACTGTGATTATAAAGCAGGTGTGGGATGCCAGCTTCAGCATCAGATAAGGATATTGTACCTCCAGCACTTAGGAAACACTTAGTTTTCATGACTGGGGTGAATGGTGACAGTCTAGCCCAGTGTATAGACACCTGGAGTGGAAAATAGGCAATGATGGTGCTTTGGCTCAGCCCAGATTCCCTTTCTCTCAGTCTCAGTAGCTGGAACAAGTGATAGCTCCAGCAGCCTCCACCAAAATCATGCTTTCAGCTTTTAATCTAGGCAAAATAAGGAGAGAAGCACAGTCGCGGCTAACAGAAATTATCCTTAACTTTATGAGGGATGGCTTCAAATGGAAAACTCCACTGAGGGAATATGGGTTATCCCTTCCTTTCTTCCCCAAAGAACCCTATTTGTTAACAATCCAGTACTGAACAGATGCTTTGCTTGCTCTCCCTCTTTCCCTCTTCAAGTGTCAATCCAAGTGCTGTGTGGTGGGATACTCCTCTCATGTCGAAAAATCTGTAGTCATTATTAAAGTTTTGCAGGCAGGTATGAAGAAACAAACTGAAAAAGGTGATGTGTATTCCCTGTTCGAGAGCTAGAGGGAAACAAAGGATCTTGCAGTCAAGGGCTTCTGTAGATGCATGCACAGATAGAAAACCTGCTATCTTGGAAATGGGGCTAGAAGGAAACCCAGCTTAGTATATCTAAACTTAGAGTAGACAGCATGAGAAAGATGAAGTTTCCTGGCCCCTTACCCACCCTGATCAAACCATTTCAACTGAAGACAATATAAAAATTCCCCCAAGTTTTTGTTGTTTTTTTTTTCCCATCCCTTTTCCCCTCAGATACACTGAGGAAAGAATCTACCTGTATTATCTTCATGTGTATTGTGCAGATGAGGAAATGCTCCATTTGTACATGCAAAGGGATTTCACTTGTCTCACAGGGCTAGGAGTCTAGACACATACAAGGGTGAAGCCACAGGTGACATTATTTGTACAGGAATAATTTAAATCTGAGGAAGAAACACAACGACACCCTGCAGTTTCAAAAAAGTGAAAGGAAACATGAAACATCCAGTTTCTACAAACCCTTTTCCAGTAACTCTGAAGAAAATCTTCAAACTTTTAAGGGTTTGCAAAACTACTTAACCTTCCTTCACAGGTTCCTGTTTTCTTCTGAGGCCAAACAGATTTATGTGTGAAAGGACAGCCTGCACCAGACAGACCATTGCCATATGCCACTTCTTGTTTACACCAGTTCTGCAAAGCTTATCCCAGAGTTTCCGTCTTTTCTTGTGTTTTCAAACTCAGTAGAAATGAAAAGGCTCGAAGAGCAGAAGAGGTGGCATATTGCTTCTTCAGAGGATGTCTCTAAATTGGAGAGACATCAATTTGATAGATGGACACTCGGTGGATAAAGAACTGGCTGGATG